GGGAAAGTTTCTTATTATTTCCTCATTATTTTGCCATTCAGCACCACAAAATATCTAACACATTGTTTTCAGACAACTTTATATTGTTTTAGTGCCGTTTGGAAGTAAATTGGAGTGTTCAAAGAAAAGTGTTCTTTCACACTGGTCTATAAAATGAAAAATAATTTATTAAATATAATAAAATATACAAATTAAATTCAAAATTCTATATGTGGCATTAGGCTACATACTATTAAACTAGAATATATATATATATATATATATATATATTACATTTACATTTAGCCATTTAACAGAACTTTTATCCAAAGCGACTTACAATTGAGGACAACAGAAGCAAACAAAAAAAACAAAACAGCATAATATGTAATATGTTATAATATATACATAATATGTAGGTGCTATGAGTAGGTGCAAGTCTGGGTTAGTCTAATGCAGTACACGCAGAAAGGTTTTTAATGTAATAAATAAAAAGAAAATAAGTAGATAGAATAGAAAAAGTATACAGAACGCTAGTGATAGAGGATCAATTTTTGTTTATAAATAACAAGAAAACAAGTTTGAAAGTATAGAAAAAGAATTGAGAACGCTGGTGTTATAATAAATAAAAAGAAAAAAGTAGATAAAACAGAAATAGAATAGAGAGTTCTATTTTTAGAGGGTCAAGTGTAGATGGAAGAGGTGTGTGTATATATATATATATTTCACATTTCATTCTATTTCAATTTTATGTCATTCAAATTTCATTTAGAATTCTTCCTCTGGGTTGGCTGCTGTAATTCAAATTTTCATTTAAAAAGTTTCAAGAAAAGACATTCTCAATTTAGTTTTGAGTGGTGCACAACCCTAGTTTGAAGACCATAACATTCATCAAAGTGATATGTTTATGAACTGTCTAAGTGTAACAATGTCATTTACAAAATACTGGATACTTTTGCGAATTTTGTTCTTTCCCTGAAATATCAGTAAACTCAATTGAAAACATCCTCAGGCTAATAGCTCATAACACACCCTGGTTCAGGTTGCAAACAGAAGGTCACCAAGATGAGACACCACTCAAAAAACACTAAAATAGATATAAAATCAGGACAATGAAATATGAGCCCAGCACGTTTACTATCTCTCTCTCTTTCTCTAGGGTTACAAACTTTGGGGATTTTTCGTGTAGGCAGCTCCAAAAAAAGAGTCCGTCAAGTAAGTTTGTCAGTTCCAGCTGCTCTCTAGAGCCAGTTTACGCCACATCTTTTCTCTCTCACGTGTGGCATGCGCCCCCTGTCTTTCATATTGATTCTAGAAACAAACTGCTGACAGTGTAACACTGGCAATACTGTTTTATCCTGCTCAATGAATATTTTAGATACTGATCTTAGCATGCACAGTGTCTTGTTTTCATGGCTGACTGTGATTTGTATGTGTACTACATTATTATACTATTAATTATTAATACTACAGTATTATACTGTGTTTGTACAGGCACAGGATACATGGGATACTTGAGTCTCATGTGCGGTGGCAGTCTGTTTGATGGTGTTTTATCCCGCCGTGTCCTTGTGTGTTTTCAGCTGCGCGAGGACTTTGACATGGGGATAGATGTCGCGTTAGACGAAGAGCACAGCGTTCATGATGTGGCTGCATTACTGAAGGAGTTTCTGAGGGACATGCCTGACCCCCTGTTACCACGAGAACTCTACCGGGCCTTCCTGCACGCTAACTGTATGAGCTTACAATTACAAAGACAGGCATTCACAAATAATCTAACATTTATATTATTACACAGGAATCAGGATACACAATTAAACTCTGTATTATCCAACACACTTCTCATTATTGTATCAGCTGTTATGAACTATGCTCACCTTACCAGATGTTTTGTGTTTGTCTGACAGTGTTGAGAGGGGCAGATCAGTTGACATACCTGCAGCAGTTGTTGTACCTGTTGCCGCCCTGTAATTGTGACACCCTGCTGAGGCTCTTGACGCTTCTTCATACAGTACAGGAGAATGCAAACAGCTCCACTGGGCCAAACCAGCAGGAGGTATGGTCTGGGTTTTGCCATGGCAAGCAGTCCCCACCACGTTATAAGAGCCTTTATAATGTATAAAAAATGACAGGGATGTTTATCTCATACAGATGAGTGGTTGAGCAATTTCCTTTAATGTGTTATAATGAGTGGTGATATCAGAGCTAGATATTATTTGATAAATGTTTTAATTAAAGTATGTTAAATTTTTCTGCAATTTGTAATTAGTGAATTCCAATCATGGTCTCGTTTGCACACAGATCTCTGAAAGCAAATTAACCAGGTTCCAGTTTAAATCACAATGTAATTTATATACACATTGTGCGTGTTGGTTATTATTTTTCTAAATGCTTTGTTGCATCAGTACGACGGCGTTTTAGTGCCACATTAAAAAAATTTTAAAAAATCTAAGATTACGAGATTAAAGTCGTAATATTACGAGAATAAAGTCGAAATTACGAGAATAAAGTCGAAATACTACGAGAATAAAGTCGAAATGTTTCGAGAATAAAGTCGAAATGTTTCGAGAATAAAGTCGAAATATTACGAGAATAACGTCAAAATGTTTCGAGAATAAAGATTAAAATTATAATATTTTGAGAGTATATTCTAGCCTTTTGCAGATGCAAATGGCCCGGATTGGGAGCACCGGGAGATATTCCAAAGTC